CATGCCCTGCCTGGGGCCTGCCCCACGGGTACCCCAGGGCTCAGGTCACCCCAAAACCCACCCCATCGATACCCCAGGGCATGGCTCACCCCACAGCACACCCCACCTGTACCCCCAGCCTCAGCTCACCCCATGTCTCACCCCAGGACATTTCTAACCCCCCCAGCCCACCTGGCCAGTGCTGTTCACAGACCCCTCCCACCCATGGAGCCATTGCAGACATTTAGACCAGTTCAGACCAGTACAAACCAGGCCTGAGCAGAGCAGGAGCTGGTTCCTGCCCTCCCTGACCCACAGCGTAGCGTGTGTGCAACAGATCTGGGCATGGGCGTACACACACACACACACACACACACACACGTGCCAACAGACCCTTCACACCCCCCAACAGTGCTGCTCCCCAGCCCCCCTTCCCACACCCCCATGCTCATCCCTCCTGCCCAGCGCTGTGTGTGCACGAGCACACGTGTGTGTGTGTGTGTGTGCGCGCACACGCGTGTGCACATGCGTGCCCGCTCACGCACAGGGGTGCCTGGAGGCCCCACGGTGCCCATGCTGGGGGCCCCGCAACCCTCCCTGTTCCCGTGGTGACAGCCCCCTGTCCTCTGCTGGCACCTTGAGCCTGCAGCCAGCCAGGCCTTTTGTGGCTGGTTTTAATTAGAGGCTCTTAAGTGTGAAACAAAGCCGAGGGCAGGGGCTGGGGGGGGCGGCCTTCCCTTCCTCTGAGCTCCTGTGGGACCCCGGGGGTCCCCATCCTGCCTGGCATCGCCCGGCACAGCTGCTGCATCCCCCCATTTCTGCTCTGCCCTTCTCCGTGCCCGTCCCCAAGGGATTTGGGTGGTGGGAGCTGGTGTTGCCAGACCCCGCCCCCAAATATTGCCCTCCCCAGCAGTGCTGGCCACCATCCCGAGTGCAGGGCAGCGTGTGGGGCCGGTGCCAGCTGCCATGCCAGCCCCAGGGCACCCACGGGTGGGGTCTGCAGCTCCTGTCCCCCAGGAGGAGGCTCAGAGAGCGGCCAGAGCTGCCCACAGATGGGCTGGGAGTGCCAGGCATTGTTCAGGGCGCTGCCAGGGGTCCAAGGCCAGGACCCAAGGGGTGTCCAACTGTGTCCCCCATTTCTGGCCGTCTTGGGTGCATAGAGGAACCCACAAGCATCTTGGCATCCCACAGCACTGGAGGAGTCCCAGGAAAGGGGCTGCATTGGGACCATCCCCTGCTCCAACAGGGACACTGAGGTGGTGGCACCTGTGGGACATCCCCTGGGTGCTGGGCGCAGGGGACTAGCAGCACCAGTTGCCCACCAGCTTCCCCCAGTGTTGCACTGGGATGAAGTGAGAGGAGCGGTGGGGTGATCAGGACTCCTGGGTCCCCCCATCCCTGAGCAGCTTCTCAGGGGATGTGAGGAGAAGCCCTGGGGGGAGGTGGCCTTGCCCCAACCTCCCCCTGATGCCCAGCCTGGCTGGCTGGCAGCACCCACTCTCTCCCACTGAGTCCCTGTCCTTGCAAGGTCCCCTCTGCCCAGGACCCCCACAGGGAAGCTGGACCCACTCCCACCCAGCATGGCCCTGGGGACTGGGCTGGGAGCCTGGTGACAGGGACAAAGGACACCAAAAGGATTCCTCAGCCGCTCTGCATGTCCCTGCCAGGGGACACCCCTGAACAGGCAGGACCCCACTGGCTGCCTCCCTGGGGTGTCCAGGGACACCCCCAGCCCACCCAGGGGTCCCTCCTGGGGCTGGCTGCTCTGGCTTCCTCCCTGCCCAGGAGGCCTCAGCACCAGTTCCATCCGGATGGGGCCACCTCCCCAGGTGTCCCAGGTGCCCAGAGATCCTGGGGACCCCCTGTCCCGAGCCACCAGCACCTCGCAGCACCCAAGAGGGCGGGGGCAGCACCTGTCGCCCCCTCTGGAACTGAAATTCCTCCCCTTCCCCGGGAAAGAAGCCAAAATCCAAAGCTTTTAGGAAGCCAAGATCCACGTGGCTGCTCAGACACCCCCACACCC